TGGGTGGGTGTGGGGTGTGGGTGTGGGTGTGGGTGTGGGGTGTGGGGTGGGTGTGGGTGTGGATGTGGGTGTGGGTGTGGGTGTGGGTGTGGGTGGAGTGTGGGCTATGGGTGTAGGTGTGGATGTGGGTGTGGGTGGAGTGTGGGCTATGGGTGTAGGTGTGGATGTGGGTGTGGGTGCGGGTGTGGGTCGGTGTGGGTGTGGATGTGGATATCTCTTTTAAAAGACGTGCAGCCACACCCACAACCAGAGCCACAGCCAGAGCCACACCCACAAGCACACCCACACCCACACCCCACACCCACACCCACACCCCACACCCACACCCCACACCCATACCCCACACCCATACCCACACCCACACCCACACCCACACCCACACCCACACCCGCCGTCAAACCTCTTTTTTTTAAAATGGATATTAGTTTAAGTTTTTATTTTAGATTTTTTTTTATCAAATGCCATAAAAGCAAAACTTTTGATTCTTTTGTAAAAAAAAAAACAAAAGCGTGAAATAAGTTTTGTTTTTCTCCAAATGTTTCTTAGATCCCCGTCAGTAGTACTACAGACAAGGAGTTGATTCTGTCGAAAAATTTTGAATTCGTGAATGTACGGAATTGCGAGTCTTTTTAGACTCGGGCCCGGATTCATAAAAACGTGGACTCGAAGCTTCTTAGATCACATATAAGATATTCTTGTTTGATATCATTTACATAAATACAAATAAAACTATTCCATACAGCTGAGTCTAGGTATCGGTCGAGACTTGCCCTTTGTCTATGACGATTCCCTTTAACAATAGTTAATCCCCTTCTGTAGAAAAATTCCGATGAACATGCTTATATTTAAATCATAATATATATTAATTACTATAATTTATCGTTTATTCTTATTTTAAATATATTATTTAGAAAAAATTTCGAGAAATTTTCATAAACAATGGACTCCAAAATGGTGGAGCACGTGATAATTGTTTAAATGGATCAGATATAACAAGTGTTCCATATTGAAAAAGTCGAATACGTTCATGATGAAATTTAGCATATAATTCTTCATTATTTGTTACAATTGCTAATTGAGCTTCGAGATCACGTTTAATTGAACGTACACCTAGAACATAATAACATCAAATTAATGTACAAAAACAAACAAACAAACAAACCAAAATTCGGTGATCCAACACAAGTTAATATTGGATAATTATTATTATTTCTATTTTCTTCATATAACCATAAACCTTTTGCATGATAAGTCCATTGTGGACGATAATATTCATACATTTGTATTTGTCCATCATTGAAATATTTCTTTTCTGCTCTTTCAATAAATTCACGTTCATTTTCAGTATAATCAGCTGGTACATAACGACTTATACCACGACTACCATAAAATCCATCAGCTTGTGGTGATGCTGTTAATAAATAAATTGTTGTATCTTTACGTTTTTTTATCAATTAATTCTTTTTCATTTTCTTCTGTTATATTAAAATATGATGTTGCAAGATATAATTTAGATTTAAATAGTAAATGTGAATAAAGATATATATTAAAATCTTGATCATTATTTATATTAAAAATTCCCATTTGTATTAATGATATAACAAGTGCTTGATCATTTAATAATGATACAGGTTTTGGATAATGTATTTGATATGTTTTCATTAATGATGAAAGATTTTTTTCAACTTCAAGACGATATTGAATATTATTACCTTTATATGGATGATGTTTACCCATAAAAATAGGTTTATTGTGATTTTTTTCTATTTTAAATATTGGGTTGGTAAGAAATTTTTGTCGTTTTTTTTCGTAACTTCCTAGAACAGTGAAGAAAGTTCTAGAAGTTTTCATACTAAGGGTATATAAAGGGAGTGTAAATATCTTTCGACACAACAATAAAACTATGGATATAGAGGGTGTCCCAGAAGTAAGGGAA